CCCGCCCCTATTACTCTTCTTTCTTCCTTTTCCCACTCACCTTGATGCTTCCATCACAATGCTCTCCTTCCTTAATTCTATCTTTTCCCACAACCACGCCCCCATTATCCTCCTTCCTTCTATATTTTCCAACACCCCCACTCCTGTTACTCTCCTTCCTTCTATCTTTTCCCACGCACCCTGCCCGTATTACTCTCCTTCCTTCTATCATTTCACACACCCCCGCCCCCTATTACTCTTCTTTCTTCCTTCTACCTTTTCCCACTCACCTGCACCAATTACTCTCCTTCCTTCTATCTTTTCCCACACCCCCACCCCTATTACTCTCCTTCGTTCCTTCTATCTTTTCCCAGAACCCCTGCCCCTATTACTCTCCTTCCTTCTATCTTTTCCCAACACTCCCGCTTCTATTACTCTCCTTCATTCCTTCTATCTTTTCCCACACCCCCTCCCCTATTATTTTCCTTCCTTCCTTATCTTGGATCATCTTGATGCTTCCATCACAATGCTCCAGCACTGCTATCTGTGGAAGTGCTGTGCAGACCCAATTATGTTTCTGTGTATAAGGAGGATATACTGCAGTCAATAAAACAACATGTCACCATAAACAGATCCGGAGCCTAGATAATTACATTTTGGCTCCTGAAAAATAACCTTTTGTACATTTTCTGTCCTGTGAACTGTAATAATAATAATATCTGGATGTTAATCAGCACTTTTAAATACATACCCAGTGTCTCTGACGGAGCTGTTCCGGTGATGCGGGTGATTTCTGGAAAAATAAATGGAGACTATTACAAGCAATTCATTTATCTTCTGAAAATCAAAGTATTCCATGCTCCCTATTTCTTCTTATCGGGTCCAGACAGGCAAGGTGGACATTCTGACATCTGCTGGAGGATCTGGTTCTTCCTGCTACAGGCACTCTTGATCCCCCATGTGTGTTATATGGAGGCACATTCGGCCTTCACTCATGGACTGCTAGTGCACATCACTTGAAGATGCCTTAAACTCCCTTCCTGTAACCTCACACCATTACCATCTGGGTACCAACAACCTCTGACCTCCTGCAGACCTACCTAAGGCATGGTGCTGGGATGGTAGAATGATCCCTCCATATGGTGGACCAGTGATGAAAAATCACCATCCCTGTGCTGAGTTCCTGGGTCTGTACACCTGCTGTGCCCATTATGAGGAGCTCCCACCATCCCTGTGCTGAGTTCCTGGGTCTGTACACCTGCTGTGCCCATTATGAGGAGCTCCCACCATCCCTGTGCTGAGTTCCCGAGTCTGTACACTTGCTGTGCCCATTATGAGGGGCTCCCACCATCCCTGTGCTGAGTTCCCGGGTATGTACACCTGCTGTGTCCATTATGAGGGGCTCCCACCATCCCTGTGCTGAGTTCCCGGGTCTGTGCCCATTATGAGGGGCTTCCACCATCCCTGTGCTGAGTTCCCGGGTCTGTACACCCGCTGTGCCCATTATGAGGGGTTCCCACCACAAGACAAGTTGGGCATCTTGTACTTGGTACCTTTTACATAGATATAGATCTGTGCAGAATGAGCTGAGAAGGCTCCGTCT